CCCACATTTATATGCTGCAAATATACATCTGATAAAACCACGCCGCACTTTCATCCGAAACATCTAAGCTTCCGAAAGGTTGACGTACGCAAATGCACTAGCGAAGAGGTACACAAACAAAAGACGACTGGACAACTCGCATGAAAAAATCGATGGCCTTCAACTCATCCTTGCTCTGCCGTTCCAGTCAACGGTTTCTCCCCCCGTACAACAACATTCTTGTGTTACTGGACCGGTCAATTCAAATTAAACTCAATAATCTAGATACAGTGGCTAGCGTAACCAGTATTTCCACTACCACCAAAGTTTCTGACGTGAGTTGCGTAACTTTAACTGTAGTGAAATAACATGAGATTCTCGAAAAGCCGGTCGTCATTTTGGATTAACAGTGTTGACTTCCGGCTTATCTCAAGCAATGCATTCTTTCGAAGCTATTTATACGTAATACGTGTGCGTATAAATAAATAATATAAAGAAACAAACAAATGCACACAGTACAAATTGAATTAAATCCACATTTTCAACTGCATTTATGTTCACACAAAGATTCAGGTCCGCTATTACATTCTTATTAATCAACCAACCAACCACTTCCTCGCCTCTCTTCAGCTATTACGAATAGTGCGTTCATTGATACAGCTGAATGCAACTGCCACCCCCGGCTCCCGGCAGGAACTGCTATGGTACAGGGAAGTTGATTTATTCTTTCTATGGAGCGACACGTGACTCGTATCGCGAAAATACTGCAACGTTTGGCGGTGAGTCTTATAGTTCCAGCCGGGAAGTGATAGCTGCGTATAACTTTATCAGTGAACGCACTTTACTAAACCAGCGTTTCTTATTCTTTTACAGTCAACGTTCTCCACAGTCTCAATAAAAAATTAAGCAAGCTTTGCTTATGTAGTATGAATATATAATTTTTGGTTTAATAGACACGCGTAGTTTGAGATAGAAATTAAATTTTGCTGAAAAGAGGCACGTGATGTTTCCACCGTATCCTCCGATACATCACTCATCCCCTAGAAGAGCAACCTACCCCTATTCACAACTGCTTTGGGTTGTTTTGATAAGACAGTTTTCGGATGAATAATAAGGTTATTTAAATAACATTCCTCACACAAGCTATAACCTGGAAATTCTACTTAGATCTCAGTAAAGCTATAAGAAAACGATTTGCTTTCCTACCCATGTTCGACTATGTTCGGAAGATTTTGGATGAGCGACTTCGCGTTCGGCTGACGAGCCGAACGGTGGGTACGCGTTTCATTATAAATGTTCTTGATGTGAATCGTTGCAAAGCGAAGACAGACTGTAAACTTCAGTTCGAACATCTTGTTGTGTCTATCCACTCAGCAACGTTTGCCATTCATGTGTAAAAATGAGACAGGAAACAGATACTTCCATCACACGGACGAACAACTTTCAGCACAAAGATGGCATACACCTCTCTATTGTGTCTTTAAATTCAACAATGTCGAGACATGTCGACTTTCGTTCCCAGTGCAGCCAACTGTTGAAAACTGTTAATGCGTACTCATCCTGTCGATCGTCTCCAAATATCCATTTCCACTGCCAACAGTCGCTTTTTTTTCAAACTACTTATGAATGAATAATGCATATGTAACACCAGTAACTTTGTAATGCAACATGTTGTTTATCTTTGAGATAACACGCACTACACCTCTCGGAGCTCTTAAAAAATAATGTAGACGTAAGCCTTTATGCCTAAATTATATTATAACAATTTCGGCGACTGACCAACGTTTGTGCTATTCGGCTACTTGCCGAAAATTTCTCACTTCGTAATGGTAGAGAATGAAGAAACAAGGCTTCTTTCCACTGCAGCATCATGAACTGGCAGTTCCAGGCCACAGTAGAATATCTAAATGCCATAACATTAAATTAACTGAATGAAAAACTTCTTTGATCTAAAACCGCTTTTGTACAATACCGTTTGTTGGTCTTTCAAGTAGTCGCTTTTCAAGAGGATTACCTATTAAAATTCCGTATGCCTTTGTTGTCTCGGCCATCCAAATTACTTTCCTTTAATCCACTACGGTATACAAGACAGGAAATTGGGCAAACTGGGCACTGCAAGTAAATGGTCGGGCAAGAGGATTTAAGATCGTTAGGGCGAGAAGAGTTTTTGTCTTCGTCTATCGTGGACACAACAGTGGCGCGACTAGCCGCGTGCGGCGTGTCGAGTGTTGTCGCGCGCGGCTGTTATTTGTATTGTTTTTATAGGTGCGAAACCCACTGATGCGGCGCGGCTGCCGAGTCGCACGCGGTTAAGTTTAGGTACGCGGCACACAGGCGGCACAGCTGTCGCGCGCGGCTATAAAAGTAACGAACTTCAACCGAGGCGAACTCAGTGGCGCTGCAGGTCGTACGTGAGTTGCGTGTATTCGATATGGCGATGTCCGAGAAATCTTTTGACACAGAGTTGTTCATTATGGAAACTGAACAACGACCAGCACTGTGGAACAGCGGTATGAAGGAATATAGTGATAAAAATATAAGAAAACCTTTGTGGGAAGAAATAGTGGAGAGATTCGGAGGGGAGGAACAGGATGTGGAAGAAATGAAACAACTTGGTAAGTAGTTACAAACTATTTATATATGTATTTTCAGGTGTACATGTACATGGATTTCTAAATGTAAATTAGTTAAATGCATTTGTTTTGCCATGGGACCTGGCCTTCACAGCGAAAACATATCTCGACAAGATACTGGACGTCTTGTATTTCTTGTGTGATCTCGTGACGTCTCATGTGATGTTGGAAAAGAATGCAAAGTGTCTTCATATCTGATGCCTTCTCTGGTGCGAACAAAGTTATGTAAAACACAACATGCCTTCACGATATCCTATATCTACGTCCAATGGGCGATGGGCCACTTATTAGCTAAAATGCCGAAAGTACACTCGATGTACCTTCGACCTCGGTTTACCCTATTTTATTTTATTTATTTAGTGTTCTGTCTGACGACAGGTCCATATGAACAGGATCCTTCCATCCTTTTCTCGGACATACGAGGTGCGATCGGAAAGTTTCCAGACTGCGCCTATAAAAAACCCGTACACTTATCTCAGGTATTAAATTCATCCATCACCCTCGAAGTAGTTCCCCTGGGAGTGAACACAACGATCCCAGCGCCGCTGCCAAGCCTGGAAGCATCCCTGGAAATCTTTCTTTGTCAGCCTGTCAAGCACCATCTGCGATTCTGCCTGAATCTCTTCTATCGTCTAAAATCTCCTTCTCTTTAGCTGAATTTTCATCTTTGGGAAGAGGAAGAAGTCACACGACGAATAAGGATGGTGTGGGATGACGGCCATGGTGTCTGAGGCCAAAAACTGCCGAACTTTGAAGGCGGTGTGCGCTGGTGCGTTGTCATGATGCGTCGCATGTGGAGTTCTTCCTTTAGAATCAGCTGACAGGTCCCATAGCCTATCCCAACAATGTCGCACAAGTCGTTGATGGTACGACGTCGATCTTCGTGAATGCCCTGCCGAATCTTCGTAACATTTTCGGGCGTTGTGCCCGAAGATGGTCGTCCAGAACGCTCGTCATCATCGACAGAGGTTCAGCCATTTTTAAAACGTGAATGCCACACAAAAGTTTGTGCACGACCCATTGCGGACTCCCCAAATGCTTGCTTTAGCATTTCATAGGTTTCCGTAGCCGTTTTGGCGAGTCTTTGGCAAAATTTGATGCACACGCCATTCCGAAAGCGCAGGAGGGTCGGTGTAATGCACTACAAAAACGCCCGTAACTAAGAAACAAATGCTAATTCGATGGCTAGCCGCGCCAGTATCAGCGAAGTCGGGCCTCGGGACGCCATACGACACGACGCCGACACACAGACGCCAAGCGTCGCGACGTCTATCCCATTACAGCGAAGACGAGCCTTGGGGCGTCTTGCGACATGCTGGAAAACCGACGGCGAGCGTCGCTATGCCTAAACAAGCACAACTTATTCCAACCTACGAGGTGCGATCGGAACGTTTCCAGACTGCGCCTATAAAAACCCGTACACTTATCTCAGGTATTAAATTCATCCATCACCCTCGAAGTAGTTCCCCTGGGAGTGAACACAACGATCCCAGCGCCGCTGCCAAGCCTGGAAGCATCACTGGAAATCTTTCTTTGTCAGCCTGTCAAGAACCATCTGCGATTCTGCCTGAATCTCTCCTATCGTCTCAAATCTCCTTCCCTTTAGCTGAATTTTCATCTTTGAGAAGAGGAAGAAGTCACACGG